TCTTATAGGGGTAACTCAGTGGTAGAGTGCATGTTTAGCATGCATGAGGGCTTGGGTTCAATCCCCAGCACTTCCACTTAAAAAAAAATTAACAATAAAAGAAAATAATGTTAATTGTGTCTTTAACAAACCTGTGTAATGAGAATTCCTGTGTGGAGAAAGGCTGACCGGTTTGATGGCTGGTAGGGTTCACGTTTATGCAAACACTTCAGTGGGTCAGACCCTGAGTTGCGAACCATACAAGTGCTTGGTACTTTGTCATTGCGTCTTTCCCTCGTTACATAATGACTTCCTGTGCAGAGGACGAAGTGTGTTTTCTCAACAAAATTTTCAGTGCAGCTGTTTTGTGACTAAGTTTTGCAGGAGCTTTTTAATCAAATGCACCTAAAAAAACCCCTTTAGGCTTTTTCATCATGTTACCCCTTTTCCTTTAAACACATCATTTTGGAAACTTAACTCACCTTTCCCATAAAGGAGAGCTATTTTCAAAGAAATAATTTGGACCCAAAGTAGCACGTTGCCTAACTGTTCCGCTGTAATCTGGGTATGTGATTTGTCCCACACGAATTAAGGTTCCAAATAGTAGACACTTACTCCTATTGACAACTAATAGTTTACGTTTTCTCCGTTGTTTTTGTGGTAGGGGGTAAACATCATTCTCAAATGTATCATAATTCTCTTCCTCATCAATTCTCACATGATGAACTTTAGTTTCACCTGATGATTCAGAATCTTATTTATATGTGTAAGAGTGTTGACCTGACATTGAACATTTGGAAGCCATTTTATAATTGGTAAATTGTACCTTCTTATCTTTGAGGAACATCTCTCTCTTCTTCCTCATCTTCTGTCATTTTATTTTTATTCTGTTGCTTATTTTTGCTTTGAATCTGGAATCAAGGAAGCTGGGCAAGTCCTGGGTAAGCAAGGTTATAAAATGCATCTGATAGTGGTTAAGTGTGCTGACGCGCTGTTACTGTGGTGTATTCTAGTTGCTTGATTTTAAATCTAGTAAGAGATGAATACATAAGAAAATGTTGTCAAGGTACCTGTGCCCCTCTCCAGAGGTACAACAACGGAGAAGAAAGGCAGATTCAGCAGGTCGTGGCTGGCAATTGGCAAGACATGAGCCAGCCACCACTCAGCCTGGCCAGTTTCTCTCCTGTTCCTTGAAGGGCTTATCTTTACTCAGGTCACCAGATGTGTCCAATTAACATGGATGAGTCCTTGTGAAAGAAGATACCCACTTCATTTATCTCAAAATATAGTCCACAAAACAAGTAACAGCATCACTTGGAAGCTTGTTAGAAATACATTATCTCAGATCCTATCCCAGACCTACTGGGTCAGAATCTGAACTTTATCAACAACCTCATGTGATTCCAATGCACATTGAAGCTTGAGGAGCACCTGGCCAGAACCTGGAATGAAAGTTCCCAGTGGTTCTCAGCCAAAGGCATCATAGCTTAAATCCTCCAAGATCAAACAGTGTTGGGTGTGGCATGAGTATCATTTCCATCTGAAGACCCTCTAAGATGGCATTCCCTTCTGAGAGCCTGCCGATTTCATGATGACCGCCTGCAATGAGCAGGAGCTAAGAAGCAGACCTAGAAAACACAAGAGGGATGTGTACAAGGAAGGTTTCAATGAAAGAACTGGAACAGGCAGATTCAGCATCCCCTGGAGTTTAGGGTCACAGTAGGTTTCCTATCAGCTCTCCTCCACATGAAGATTGCCTGGTCTAGAAAGAAATGTTTTCAGTAGGAATGAAACCCTGCCAAGATCTAGAAGTCCAGTTGCATTTCTTAACCATAGGGAGGGTTTTGCCAGCTCATGTTGTTCTGCAAAGCTATTTACCTGTTTTAGCCCAACCAAGTCACTGAACATTGGAGTCTAATATTTGTGGCTGCATTCATATCTATTTATTTATTTTTAAATTGAAGTATAGTCAGTTTGCAATGTTGTGTCAATTTCTGGTGTACAGCACAATACTTCAGTCATATAGGAACATGCGTAAGTTCGTTTTCATATTCTTTTTCACCATAAGTTACTATAATATATTGGATATGGTTCCCTGTGCTATACAGTATGAACTTGCTGTTTATCTATTTTATATAAAGTAGTTAGTATCTGTATATCTCAAACTGCCAATTTATCCCTCTCCACCCCTTCCCTGCAACTGGTAACCATAAGTTTGTTTTCTAGGTCTGTGAGTCTGTTTCTGTTTTGTAAATAAGTTTGTCTTTTTTTTTTTTTTTAGATTCCACATATAAGTGGTATCGTATGGTATTTTTCTTTATCTTTCTGGCTTACTTCACTTAGGAGAATGACGATCTCCAGGTTCATCCATGTTGCTGCAGATGGCATTATTTTATTCCTTTTTATGGCTGAGTAGCATTCCATTGTATAAATATACCACAGCTTCTTTGGTTTGTAGCTTTTTAACAATGTTTGTAGGTATTATGAATTCAAGGAGATCTGTTTGAGGATTGTTGATCCTTCTGGCAGAACTGCGGTTTGCCTTGCATTTTGCCTTTCCATGAACTACAAAGAGGGCCTTATTATTTGATGGTCCACTTAGTTGGACCCCTTGGTGTAGCCACAGTCTGCACCTGCAGTATGTCACAGGCCTGACCCACTGGTTTCCAAGTTTCCACGCCTTCCCAGAGCTCTGAGCATGGTATTGCCCCTTAGGCACATGGCAAAACTGTTCCCTTGGGTGTCATGTCCCCGAAGGGTTGGGGGAGTATGCTTATCCATGTTTGATACCTGGGGAGTCTTCTGGGCATTTGGGAGTTCTAGAAAAATCATTGCCCTGGAAGGGTGGTCAGATATGCCAGGTTCTTGTCCCATTCAGCTGCCTGTCTCTTACTTAGGTCCTACTTACTTAGGTCCTTAGACCTACTTACTTAGGTCACACCCTCTTTAGGACATATTTTCCTTCTGGTAAATTGATGGTTAGGGGATTCCGACCCAAGCCATGTGTGCCCTGGTGTTTGTTCCAAACAGCAGTGGATGATCTGGCGCTATTTTCCATATTTACAAATCTTAATGAGAATCAGACAATGGTCCAGATGTTCATATGTATTATTACTTATTATTTATTACGACTTACCTAACATGTGGTTTGTTGGACAATATTTTGCAAATCAAGCATCCCTAAGAGAGACCTTCTCAAAGGAACACTTGGAGGGAACAGATCAGTGACTCAGAGATACGATAACTTCCTGCTGAAGTCTTCTTTATCTGACCTGTGACTTGAACAGGGATGAAAAACACCTTCAAAGCATAAGAAGAGTACCATTTATCAAACACAAAACCCACTTTCCTTCCAGGTGAACTTAGAGGTTTACTATCAAGTGATGCTGCTATTTGAATGTCAAAGTGTGGTCCAGGGACTGGCAGCATCAGCACCACCTGGGCGCTGGTTAGAAGGGCAAATTCTTGGGCCCCATCTCAGACCAGCTGAATCAGAGACTCTGGGGGTGTTTTTTCACAACCTGTGTTTTCACAAACACTCCAGGCGCTCTGGCTGTCTGCTGAAGTTGGAGAAGTATGAAAGCATTTTTAATCTCTCAGAGTAGCTTTGTAAACAGCATGTCACTTGATTTTCACCATCACCCTATGAATGTCACTTGGTTGACTTTTACTCACATTCAATATATGGCAGGCATGCAGGTAAGTCGAATGACCCAGGGTCATATAGTCAGTTTTTATTTATTTATGTATTTATTTTATGTATGTATGTATTTATTTATGTTATTTATGTATTTATCATTTACCTCTTGGCATGTTTGGTATTTGGCATATAAACATTGTATGTTTCTCCTCCACTAAAACTGACCGCAATTTGACTACCTATTTTTGGAAAAAAAAAAATCATGTTCTTTCATGTTCTCTAAGACAATTGGTTAGGTGAATCTATCTAATTTTCATTTTTTGCTCATTTTTTTTGTTATTTTCCTTGAAAGATTGTGAGGTAATGGCTGTCCATGTGGGAAGTCTAACATATGAATGGTATAAAGTTTAAAAGACAATGCAAACGGCCAAATGTACCTTTCACAAAATTTTAACAGGTGAAATTTAAAAAGTTAAAAAGGAAGAACAAGTAAACCCCCCCACAATCATCTCACCTATCATTAGCAATTTGTTTACGTTCATATACCAATAGTCACATTTGTAGAAGTCATGTTATGTATGTTATTTTGTAGACTTTTTGCTTTCTTAATATACATCTTGAATATCTTTCTATGTCCATAAATGTCATTCTTTTATAACTGTAATAATCAGAAACAGAATGAAGTGGGATGAGGGAGAGAGAGACTGATTGACTGACTTTAGGAATTGGTTCATAAAACTGTGCAGACTGCTAAGTTCAAAATCTGTAGGGTAAGCTGGCACGTTGGAGGCCCAGGGAAGAGCTGAGTTGCTGTTTGAGTCTGAAGGCAGTCTGCTGACAGAATCCCCTTTTCCTCAAGAAAGGTCAGTCTTTTTCTTATGGCCTTCAACTGATTGGACGAAGCTCGTTCACATCATGGAGCATAATCTGCCTTACTTAAAGTCCACTGATTTAAATGATTTCAGTCTCCTCTAAAAAACATCTTCATAGCAATATACAGACATATTTGAGCAACTCTCTGGGAACCACTGCCCAGCCAGCCAAGCTGACGCATGAAATTAACCATCACAAAAAATAGCACTTTTAATGGGTGTGTATATTTCATTTTATTTATGAACTATAGTTTATCCAGTCCTCTGAGGCTGGAGTTCAGGTTGTTCCCAATGTTTTCATCCTTACACATAGCACATCTTGGGTCATTTTTATCTTCAAGATCAACGCACAGAAGGTGGAAAGGAATGCATATTTCTAAGTTTTTAAAGATTTGATTTCTTATTTCCAAATTGCCCTTGTGGACGTCTTTACCCTCTGAACCACCACTTGAAGATGTCAGAGTAGGGAAAATGCCAGGTTGGCCTTGACCTACTCCCTTCTTCCTCAGCCTGCACATCTCTGGGAACCGGCATGATGCTGAGCTCCTGGGCCACCTCCTCAATTGAAGAAGTAGCAGAAGCTGGTCCCCAGGCACTTCGCTGGCTGCAGCTGTACATCTACAAGGACCGTGAGGTCACCAAGCAGCTGGTGCGGCGGGCTGAGCGGATGGGCTACAAGGGCATATTTGTGACAGTGGACACCCCTTACCTGGGCAATCGCTTCGATGACGTGCGTAACAGGTTCAAGCTGCCACCCCAACTCAGGTAACTGTGGCTCTTTGGTCACCTGGGCCCCTGAGCTGGTTTTCCTAATTCTCTTGGCTCTTGTCATGATCTGGATCCAAAAAATCTCTCCAGTTTCCACATCGGGGCCCCGAGGAATTAGATCTTCACAAAATGTTGGTCCCAAAATACAGTTGACTGGGATCTTGTCCAGGAATGATAAGGTCTGTGTTCTAGAGCCAGTGCCCTTGCAGAAAAGCCACATAACCCTTAGCAAATCACACCCTTTATGTGAGCGTCACATACTTGAGCTATCAAGCAGAGACAGGAATTGCCATATCCTTGTAAAAGTAAAAAATTTCTGTATCAGGCTGCATGAAGGGCTTTGGCTGGTATGAATTGCCACATGGAGAGATATACCTTGATGTAGCCTGGGTTTGACATTGTGGTCCTAATCCCCTATTCCTTTGTTGAAATCAAAGAGCCACCTTTTCATTTTATTTTTAATTGTATCTGAAACAACTCTGGCAGGGAAGGTTGAATAAAGCCAAAAAAAGCCACATTGAAAAAAAAAAAAGATCCAACTAAAGAGGAAATAGGAGGATGTTGAGGATGGTCACAGGGTTTTGGTTCCCTGGCGCCCTGCCATCTTACATGTGGATGTCTGCGCGTGGCATTCCTTCAGCTGAACCTGGCTTGCCTTGTCCCCTCCACTGCTGACACGACCAGAATCTTCCCGCCCTTCACGTTTTATTTCAGACGTTCCTTCCTATTTCTGTGACACCTCCTGAATTTCCTAGGCTAACAGAGACTCTCGTCTACACTCTCAGTTCATTTGCTCACCCTCTGCCTCCTCCTCCCTCTGTGTGTGTATGTATACGTACATATGTTTATGTATATGTACATATGTTTATGTATATGTACATATGTTTATATATACATGATAGGAGTGATTATCTTTCTAAAATAAAATTACTTGTAGAGCTGTGAAGAAAAAAGAAGAAGCCACATGTTTGGCTCCTTATCTCCTACTTCTTTCAACAATATGCCTCTTTTGTTGTGGTTCATCCATGGATCAAGATTCATTAATTCATTCATGGGTTCATTAATTCATTAATTCATCCACTAACTCACTCATTCATCCAAGCAAAAACAATGTATCTAGTCATCTAAAACTGAACTGTGATGGTCTTATCAGGTCCTTCAGCCCATCCCTCAGCAAGGAATTGTCCTTTTCCCTGGAAAATATTAGAATCATCTTGAGTCAAAACAAGGAACTCAGTGGAGTTTACTGAGACCATAACCCCCTTAAGCTACAGATCTCTCTTCCCCTTTGTTTTTAACCTTCCCTCTGTTCCCACCAAAATCGGCTCTTATGTTTTTCAGACCCAGGTGTGACTGATAGCCTTTAGGGCTAAAACTATTTGAACAGGAACCAAAATCCTTGTGGTAGTGGAGGGCATTTTGGTGATGGGAACCATCCCTCTGCATACGTGAAGTGAGGGATGCTTTCTTTGGAATCCTAACCCTCACTTCACATGGACTGTTGCTTACTCTGTCTACATATAAAGTTAACCCTTCTGAAAGAGCCACCATCTAAAAGATTCAAAATCAAATCAGCAGCTCACAGAAGGACAAGGAGATTATCGGGGGACAGGAATTCCAGATTTATTATAGAGTGAGCAGTATCTCAACCACCACGTAAGTCCACGGTCAGTCTTGAACAGGCGTCACGTAATTGCCCTGGTGCCCTGCGGTGTATGTACCGATGTGAGTGTGAGCCACATGGAAGTGAGCTGTGTGACACTATCTCCGTGATGCTTCCAGGCACGTTTAGGGTGTCACTTCTGTACGTGGCACCATTCAGTGGCCCAGTGACAAAAAGAGAAGGTGCTCTCCCTGATTGACAGCTGCCCATCACCCGGCTCCACGCATCCCAGACACCCAGTTGCTCAAACACCCTGTCTTTCTAAAAGAACAAAAACAAAAACAAAAGCCCTTGACACAGTCCTACTTCTTGTCAGATTGGCCAGAAAGTAGATGGTTCCAAACTTCCCTAATATGAAATCTGAATTCACATTATTTCTCTATTTCGGTTGCCTTCATTTTCAGACTTGATAAAATAATTAGTTTCCCAGGATTTAGGCTTCTGCCAGGAAAGGTTCCTCATTGTTTCCCGTTGGCCGTTTGAAAAGAAATTTCCTCTTCCGTCTCCTCCTCCTCTTGCTACTATTACATTACTACCAACAGCAACAACAACAATGATAAATACACAGTATGCTTTTTTTTTTTTTTTTTTAAGCTTGGGAAGCACTTTCTTGCTCTGGACAACAGATGTGTTTCACACGGGTACCTACTTAGCCGGGGGATGACACACGTGTTAATTCTGGCCGGTGTCTCCTGCTCCTTCGGTGCCAGGGCCACTCAGCCCCGAGCGGGAAAGGCCGCTTTGCTTTCCCCCATTTCGCTCCCGGGCTCCTGCCCAGGTGACGCGAGGGACCAGAAGACAAAGGCCCTTTTCAGCTGTCCATGTGCACAGGAGTGGCCCCTGTAACCAGCCTGTCAGATCTCCCGTCTAAAGATGATCAAATAATGAGTCACACATCCAGGCTGCGGGAGTAGTGGGGTGGGGGGGCCCAGGGAGCATCCCGCGCCGAGCCCCGGCCCCCAGGGGCGCGCTGGCCCTGCTGGTCCCCCCCGGGCTTCAGGTCGGACCAGAGCCCTGGGGTGGGCGCCTCCGCCGCCCCCTTGCAGCGGGGAAGGCCGAGCCCACGAACGGGAGGCCCAGGCTTCCGCTGCCGGCCACGTGCGACTCCAAAAACTCATCTGTTACAGCCTGATACGAAATCAGGTTTCTTTCCGCCACTGACCTGACTCATAGAAGGTGAAGCCGGGCTGTTCAGAAGTGAGGTTTGGCAGGCGAGGCGGGCAGGAAATCCAGAGGAGAATGAGTCCGCAAGGCAGCGGCTCCTTCCAGCCCCGGCTACTTCCTCTGCCCGGAGGGGAGGGGGGCGGTCCTGATGCTCCGCATCTGGGACCAGCCAGAGTTCAGGAGCTTGGGCAGAGGCGCTCCCCGGTCTATATGCAAAACACATGTATGTGTGTATCATGAGTGGCCCGGGGGTGCCAGACTGAGGGGGAGTAAGGCAAATTGTCATCCGCTCTCGGAAGAGGCGAGGAATGAAGCTAGTTCACCAGACTGGCCCCAGAGGCTCTGAGGGCCCCTGGGCATCCCCGCACCCCTCGGGGGCGGCTCGTTTACCCAGGAGGATGGTTGGGCTCTTAAGTGTAGCAGCAAGGCAGTTAAGAGAGAAGAAAAGAAATTCCCCATCCTTGACCGAGGAGCGAGGTGAATCATGACACCTACCCCTTCAGTGATTTGCCCGGGGACACGCCTCCTTACGCCCCAGAAGGATTTATTAATGACAACAGCCGGGGCAGAGCGCGCAAAAAGGCGTCAGCCGGATGCGCTCTTGGATAGAAGTGGGCGGAGAGGCTCCCCTTCCTCTGACCTCATCGCCCAGCATCCTCATCTCCAGCCGCGCTGCCAGCTCCAAGGCTTCCCCTCTGCGCTTCCCACCAGCCAGGCACGCCTGCGCCTTTGAGCGGAGCCTTGGAACTGACGCTTCCCTCTGCCTGAAACCTCCTTTCCCCAAATCATTGCGCGACTAACTTCACTTCCTTTAAGTTTTGACCTCAGGGATGGATCAACACGTCTTTATATTGGGAAACCAAAATAAAAAATAAACAGAAGCGATCAGAACAGAGGTACAATGTGTGTAGGGATCTAGGGTTAGGAGGCTGGAGGGGAGGGGAAGATTGTGAAGGAGGACTCTAAATTATTTGGTTAGGAAGCCATCCACAGCATAACTGTAAACAGAATAATAACCCTCTAAAGATGCCCATGTCCCAGTGCATGGAGCCTGCGAATACATTGCTTTGCACGGCAACATGGACTCTGCAGATGTGATTAAATTAAGGACCACGAGGAGGGATGGTTATTTTCGATTGTCACAGGAGGCCTAGTGTAATGAAAAGGGTCCTTGCAAGAGAGAAGAAGGAGTGTCAGGTCGGAGAAGGCGATGTGATGGCAGATGCAGAGGTTGGGGCGGTATCGCCAGGCATCAAGGAATGTATGTGGTCTCTAGGAGCTGGAAATGGCAAGGAAACAGATTCTCCGCTAGAGGCTCTGGAAGGAAAACCTTGAGTTTGGTCCAGTGACATGCATTTTGGACTTCTGACCTCCAAAATTGTCATATACTACATTTGTATCATTTTAAAGCTTCCAGGTTTGTGTTTGTTACGGCAGCAACACAAAACAAATACAACAACACAACTCTGCTAATTTCCTCTACAAGGTAGCTTCTCCATGGGGCCAAGTCCAATAACCGTATTTCAACTTTTAAGTTAAGCCTCTACCAGCTCACATCCCTCTTATTCTGCTCTATTTTTTTTCTTTATTTTATATTACCCTTATGTTCTAACAGTTTTCATAAATTACTAATTGATTATGTGTTGTTTATTTTCTGTCTTCCCTTGCTAGAATGTCAACCATAGGACATTTTTGACTTCTTTATGAAAATTCAAGCCCATAGTAGGTGCTCCATAAGTAATGTTGAATCCATAAAGAAAAATCGACCAGATCGTAAGAGATTTACCCAATAAAACAAGATTAGTAAGAAGCTGAACAAGGGTTTGAGCTCATACTTAAAATCCTTGTCCTGAACTTTTCTTCCAACTGCCCAAGTCACACCAAAGAAGAAATTAGCAGGGCTACACTCCAATGTATTTCCCTAATCACAGAATTAAAGACTGGATTCCATGTACCAATTCCTATACGTATTATGAAGGTCTCTCTCATATTGTATTGATATGGTGTGTTCTACTGGTTGTTATTTTATAATTTGTTTCCCACAATGGAGACATATAGTTTTAATGCCACATTATCAATACCTACAATACATAATATATATTTCTCAATAATAGCCATTATTATTAATGTTACTATTGGTTATTTAATCATATCAATTTTCTTTAGTAGTTGTTATGTTTTTATGATGCTAACTTACTAAAAAAACAAATAATTTTTATATTAGATTAACAAATATATTTGAGAGCCCTTCGAGGCTCCATGAATCCCTTACAAAGAAGAAATTCTATCCCTTGCCTTTGGGTCATTAAACAGATTGAAATGCAAAGAATTAAGTCCCAAGTAATCATTTTATTATTTTGATGTAGCCTCTTTCCTTCCTTATGAAATGGAATACTTTGGTTATCAGAAGCTGCTTTAAGTGTTTTTTTTGTGTGTGTATATGTCATGATTCTAATAAAAATAGCATTCATGGAGGTTTCCTTCAGAGCCATTGGTAAAACACTCCATCGTGGGTCTCTGTCAAGATATCTGAAAACTTTTTCTTGGCTTCTGGCTTTGAACAACGTTTTAGAGTAACAACAAGGCTTCATTGTGCACTGAAATTTCTGTAAGGCAACATTCATTCAAGTGTTGATCTGCATTTCGCCGTCCAAGAATAACAACAGTTATTTATATAATTTTATCCATGTTTCTGTTTTTTCCTATCCATTTCACCCTTTCACCCCACCCCTGCTGAAACACTGTAGCTTGTTTGGGATGGGGGTGGGGTGCTACGCAGAGAATATACACATACAGATATTATTCTTTATTACCTCTGGTTGTGCTGTGAGATAGACAGACTGGACTTTTTTTCTTGTTAACAATATTATTTAAAAGGTTGGAATTTAATAACACTTAATATCACTTCCAAGTCATGGAATAGGTTTCCATAATAAGAATGTGTTTGTTGACCAGAGGGTTAGCTTGATTCAAGTTAGGATGACCACAGAAGGTCAAGGTTTGTGATGAAGTGTACAACCCTAAGTGGTTTGATGAAAAGAAATGCCCAAGTATTTCTGCTAAAATCCAAACTGAAGATCAACAAATAGGTGGATACCAGTATGACTCTCATGGTGCTGGAATTTTCTATGGCCACCTGAGTCAATGAAATTATTGGACCTACTGTCCAGTCATTATTGAGAAAACTTTGTCAATGGTTTGAATAGAGTTATGCAGGATGTGAATGTTCATGTCCTTAAAAATAACATATGCCACCTAAGCTACACAACCAGCTATCTCAGCTGAAATCACACTAGAAGCATTAAACCAAGTTTTATATTAAAGAAAGAATCACAATTTTAAATTAAAATTTGTGATTCTCTTTAAAAGTTTAAAACTAATGTGCTATTTACTTCTAAGTTGATATAAAAATTGTTATAGTCTTGACGCTAAGATCCTTTCTACATTCAATGGCAGATTGGTTAGCAGTGTAATTTTTAATGCGCAGAAGAGCAAGGTGAATCCAGGTCATTGTCATCATTCAAAATCAGCCTTTTAGAGAAATGAAGTAGGCAACTGGATTTGGGTGTAGGTGGCTAAGTAACATGGATGGTACCGTTGTGTATCCAGGTGGTCATCCACACAGTTAGTGGGCAGAGGTACGGGCAGGAAAGACTCTGTCCCTAGCTTGAAGAACTACCAAAATCTAGTCGAGATATCAGGATATTAGACCAAGAGATAAGACTTCAGGTGTAGAGTAAGCCAGGAGCAGAGTCTTCCAGGTGAGTTAGAGAAATACTGTTCTAAGCTGGGTTAACAAAATTGAGACATACGAGAAGGCAGTGACTCAGTGGAGCTGTGTCTCACTTTGGGTTCCTCTAGGAGCAGAGTGTAAGCCACTAGATTCACTGCAAGTAGTTCCTTCAGAGGGTGAAGGGAATACAGGTAGAGGAGTGGGGAAGAGGTGCAAGTGAGGGAAAGTAGTGAATAGTGGGCATGTTATCAAGATAGCTACAGCCACGGGCAACTGAAGCTTACTCCTGCTGGGAAATTCTGGGAGAGCATGTAGAACTTATCTCAGAGTTAGTCTGCCTAGGGGTGAAGGAGCTGGGGTATTTATATTCCAACGTCCTTGACACTTCAAGTCTGCTGTGTAGATGGCTCCAGGAGCCAGGAAAAGTCATGCATATTAGTCAAGTTCTCCAGAGAAAGAGAACCAATAGGCTACCCATATCTATGTAACTGTATCTGTATCTATGCCAACAGAGAAATTTCTTATGAGGGATTGGCTCATGCAATAGTGGAGGCTGAGAAATCTCACAGTCCACTATCTACAAACTGGGGGCCCAGGAAAGCCAGAGTAGTTCCAGTCCAAACCCAAAGGCCTGAGAACCAGGGAAGTCCATGGTGTAAGTCCCAGTCTGAGTCTGAAGACCCAAGGACTGGGGGCCAATAGTGTAAGTCCTGGTCCAAGCCTGAAAGTTTGACAACCAATAGCAGGAGATGATGGATGTCCCATCTCAAACAGAGAGAAGAGATTTGTTCTTTCTCTACCCTTTTGTTCCATTTGGGACCTCAACAGATTGGAAGATGCCCACCCACATCTCTACTCAATCGACTGACTTAAGGGCTATTCTCATCTGGAAACATCCTCACAGACACACCCAGAAACAATGTTTTATCAGCTGTTGAGACATCCCTTGGCCCAATGTGGCTGACAAAACTAACCATCACACCATAGGCAAAGAAAGGAGAGCCTTGATAATTGGAAAGCTCGTATCCTGGTCAGGATTGTCAGGAGGGCTGGGAAGTTGGAGTTCAGCAGGCAGAGAGCCTCAGAGAAAGCAACTAAATGGAGGACAGAAAAGCAGGAGCTGACAACCCACCTGCTGGGACACACTTCCCACCTCTCCCTGTGCTCAGCACCAGCACCACAGGGAGATCAGGGCCGGCAGCAAGGAGAGTCTACATGGGCAGCGGACAGGAGGTGTTGATGCATGTTACTGCAGTTCCCAACTCCTCTAGAATTTTCCACAGGGATGTCAGAAGGTTTAGAAAGTCAAATTCAATTACCAGGATGCAACTGAGATCTGGGTGGAGAGAATGTAATTAAGAGTCAAGAGACCCAGCTGAGAGCCCAGATAACTGCTTTAGCTAGTTTTATACTTGCGGGCATCTTATTCTGCACTTCTGGTTTTATTTTCTATGTAAAATAGGGATTATAGAGTATCAATTTTATTTTCTAGAAGTTTTTTTTTTAACTGTGGATATATGAATGTCCTTTGTAGATTGTGATGCACCATGCAAATGTTCATCTTTATCATTAGTATGCCCTGCTGGCTGAAAATTGTGTCAAATCTATTGTTTATATTCATAAACTGGCTTAAAACGGTAGAGATATTGGAACTTGGCCAAACATTTTTCCTTTACACTGATTTATTTATATATAAAAAAGCCTGAGATGTAAAATAAACTTTAAGTGACCAATTAAGTCCACTATGCTGTCACATTTAGCCCGGAATCCTCCATCAAAACATGGAAAATATTCATGTAATCAACCTGTAGATGGTTGAGGAGTGAACAGCCCATTGATTTGAAATGGTAACTTTTTTTTTTTTCCACTGAATGCTTCATTGTAAAGATCTCTCTCACTTCGGGAAGTTTCTCATTTTATGTATCTCTTGATTTCAGAATGAAAAATTTTGAAACCAATGATTTAGCATTTTCTCCTAAGGAAAATTTTGGAGACAACAGTGGACTTGCTGCGTATGTGGCTAAAGCAATAGACCCGTCTATCAGCTGGGAAGACATCAAATGGCTGAGAAGACTGACATCACTGCCGATTGTTGCAAAAGGCATTTTGAGAGGTTTGTTTATTTCTCTACTTGCGTTCATACTGGTCTTATGGTTCTTTATGGATATGATCATGATAATTTTAAGGGAAAATAATCAGAAAAAAATTAATGTGGAAATAGAGACATCCCAGCTCTCAGTTCTCCCTTTTGAGGTTAGTAAGTACCTCTCTAATCTCAGATAGTATTCTGAAGGAGACTTAGACTCGCATAAAGGAAGAAGTTAACCTTTTCTTAAGTGTTGCGATGCCACCGCGTTATTTGGAGCTGTCACTGAATCACGGAACCTGGCGAGATCTAGGTAGAAGGTCTTGAGTTCCCTGCTTTGGCTGAAAGCTGCCGACAGCTGCTCAGACCAACAAGAAGCCCTAAGGAGGCTGTTGTAACAGCCAGACCTGCTTTAAAAGGCTCTCTGTTTTTCTCCGGTTCCCTCCCTGTACCAATGACTAGGGCTGATTTTTGAGTGTGGTGAATCCCACATCATCTCCCATTAAAGAATGGCCGACTAGAACATAAAAATCTGAAAACATCAAGCTGTGGGTATGAAGGAACTTGACTCCTTCCTCAGTACCCACATGTATTCAGATCCCACAAGGAGGTACCGATGACTATAATAATCGGGAGTATAAATGTGTTCACCCACAAAAATGTTCTCCTGGCTTTGAAAACATTTTAAAAAATACTATTATATAGATGACTGCCAAAAACATATTACTTTAAATGGAAATGTTTAAGTAAGTGGCTCTGGGATGAGAGATTCTATTAACTTATCTCAGGGTTAACAAAGACTTAGAATCAAAGCTTTCTCACAGGTTTTGCCTGAATTGCATGAGTCACATGGGCCCTGTTTCTAAAACTCTAGGCTTGCTTCTGGCTTTATTTAATCTTATGTAGACAAAAATAAGCTAACACAGATAAAAGAATGGGCCTAATAAAGCTTTTAAGTAGTGGTGATATGTTTAAATCAGGATCTTTCTTAATCTGTGCTTTGGAAAAAAAAAACTATTGTTATGTTCTTTCCTGTTGATCATTGTCTTCGTCCAAAATTTCTGTGGTTTACGCTTTATTGAGTATATCCTGAGATTGCAGGCACCTTTAAACAACAGATCCGCTCACCTTACTTGCAGCCATGCTGTCACCTAGGATTGTTAGCGCCACTTTGTTTCGCTCTACACAACTGTAGTACTAAAATATTAACCTGAAGGATCTTCCCCATTTATTCATTCATCCATTTACTTGTTCACTCATTCATTTATTTCATAAACATTTATCATGCTTACTGTGTGCTGAAATAAAATAATTTGAGGTCCTTGGCCAAAAGGAGACCCCGTTTTTGTAGAAGGCAGACATAAAAACAAGAATTTGGGTGCAATAAGATGTTACAGGTGCTGGGGGGAGTGTATAGCGCAGTGGTAGAGTGCGTGCCTAGCATGCATAAGGTCCTGGGTTCAATCCCCAGTACCTCCATTAAAGATAAATAAACAAATAAAAACCTAATTACCTCCCCCTCCAATACAAACAAACAAACACAAAATTAAAAAAAAAAAAGGATGTTAGAGGAGCTGAGGTTGAAATCTATGCCATATGTTTAAAATCGGGTTTGGACAATTAGAGAACTGGGTTAGGGAAGGTTTCACTCCAGAATGAAAGATGGTATTGGAATTTTGCCATGGTATCAGGTCAAGAGACTCTTTTTGAAATTTAAATCATCACAGAATACAGCAAAATCCTCAGTGAAAAAACTGTATGAATGTCTATAATCAGAGAGAGCTCAAAAGCAAGAGGAGAGATGGGGCATTCTGGCATTTGAAAGGAAATAACTTATTTATACATGTACAGTTTACATTGCCTAGTGTGTCTGTAACTATTTATTTCATTTATTTAACAAACAAGAATCATCTCTATGACAACCACCGCATCAAGCTTTGCATATGCTCAGTCAGTCTGGGTGGAGGTGGGGGAAGCGGTGGCAAGGCTGGTTCTGGGAAATCTAGTTCTCATCATTTCATCCAGGAGTCACATGGATAGACTGAAGGTCATCTATCCTCTTTCATTTTCCTTTTACCAGAAAGGCACAGATTGTTTGTAGGAACATAAAGTCATGGGCAACTGGGAAGTTCTCCATGAAATATCCCCCCTTCTCACCATGTTAAGAATTGCATTCTAGATGCAAACTGGACTTCAAGATGTAATCTCTTGCTGTGGTTAAACTCTGCCCTTGGAAAATTCAACACAAACTCCAAACATGTACTTGAGACCGGATTTGGTCTTTGCCAGAACTCACGCTAACAAACAAACGGCTTTATGAGCAGAGGCATAAGTTTTAAAAACATTTTTTTTTATTATTATAAGAAAAATTTTTTAAACTAAGCTTTCTCACTTCTAAAGTGACTTATTGTTTCTCAGAAGCTTCTCCAGTTATTTTGTTGTCTACATTTTTAAAAGACATGCTCAAAGAATATTCACTTAGTATTCCTGGACTGTGTTCAAAACTTCCACCATGTAGTTAAGATGTAGTCACTAAACTCCCGTGAAATAGCACAGAGTCCTGGCTCAAAGGCTCCAAAGGCTTAAGGGTGAACCTTGAGTCCTTACACTTCACCTTGGCATTTCAGATTAAATACAGAAATAGTGTGCTAATAAGACAGCCAACAGTGCTGTTCACGATTAACTCTTGTGTTTTGTCAATCAATTAATGTATTAACTAGCAAATCAACAAATGTTGAACGCCATAACAGCAAACTCTAAGGATTAATGAAAATATCCCAGGTTCATGAACATTTTGCTAGGTCAGACCATCCTGACCCTCTTGTTGAGATAACATTGTTTTTTTCCTCTGGGTTAAAATAAAATGTAAAATATGGACAAACGTTCATAAGCAACTGATAAAAAAGATCGCGTATCTGGTCATGAATGATTACTTTCTTTGCTTCTCTGGATACTCATGATACTATGTTCTGAGCAACCATTCTGTCATTTCCCCTTACGTTGCCAGCACTGCCTGGAATACAGAAAACCACTTGAAATGATAAAAGACAACAAACTATTACTTAAGTAACACTTACTTCAAAATGAAAGGCTCTTAAAAATTGTAATCCTTGCTAGGATGAAAATTTATTGTTATAAACAAAACTCAAATAGATGTACCAAAGCATCCAGCAAATGAATCTACCGACTCTCTCCTTAGTTCATACACCCTGTACCATCTGATGAAAATTAATAATAGTAATAATAGTAATAAGTTAATATTTTTCTGAGTCAGGTACTTTCTAAACACTCATTCAACTCATTTAATCCACTGATCAACCTTATGTGAATTATGATCCCCATGTTGTGGTTTAGGGCACCAATGGACACAGAAGTTAAGTAAGTTGCCACTTACATGGCAAACAGGTAGCAGATATGGGATTCAAATTCAGGTAGTCTGACTACTAAGCCTAAAGTGTTAATCTCTTTTTCATACCGTATGAGATCAGTTGGACAGTATTCAATATCTCAAAACACAGGTTGTAGCTACATGATGGCAGATATCTGCGTATAAATTGGAGGACTGCATACATCTTCAGTCCTGGGGTTCAAAAAATATTACAGATCATATATTTTGATTTTTTTTTTACTTTTGATTTTATGTTTAGGGTCACATACACAACTAGATAACCAGAGCAATTCCAAATACATTTTACATTGTTTCTTAAGGTTAGTAATGGATAGATCTAAACTTTAAAAAAAAATGCTATACTATGTCTCTTTATTAGACTAGGTAAACTTATGCAAATGTTAAAGCTGAGGTGGCCTTTAAGGCCGACACTGGCCAAGTGTGGCTATTCTAGTTAATTAAAATCAAGTAAAATTTAAGTTCCAGTTTCTCACGTACACCACCACACTCCCATGATTCTGCGTCTGCATGCGCTGCTGAATGAACTCACATAGATCTAGAACATTTTTATCATCATAGAATGTTCTATTGGACAGCAGTGTATTAAGGCTGTGTCTTTAGAGAACCATTTTCCAATCATATTTTAAATAATAGTATTGGGCTTCTGGTTCAAAAGGGTGGACTGGGCACATATGTACACTCTTATCAAAACTGAGACGCCACCAAAATTATTAAGTAAAGAAATCCAAAAATATATAACACATATGACAATAAAACAAAGGAGGATGAGGGGCACAGAAGGCAGAGAGACATCGAGAAATTTTTGAAAGAAACAAAATGTAAGGGTGCTTGTTGATGGGAGGAGAATGAAAAGAAAACTGCCCCTGAAGATAGTCTTGGAGGGAACCCTGGAGGCAGGAGCAAGTCATATAACAAGATGCCTGGGGCTCCAGGTGTCTAGTGTGTAAGCGTGACAGAGCTGGAAGATGGACAGTGGAAACTGAAAGCAAGGGGATTAGTTGGAGTTCTGTTTGTGATGCTCATGCTCCTGCCAGCAATCCAGCCCCCTGCCCTCACCTCTTATGCAACAATAAACAACTTGGCCTTGCAGTTTGTTCCTTCTTTATGAGATAAATGGGTGCTGGGACAACCTATGGGTGGATGACATTCACAACATGAAATGACATTGTCCTCATGCTGACAGTTGAGGAGCTCCCCGTCCAGTAGCCCCTTGGTTGACTTTCTTCGTCTTGTCCCCACATGGAGCTCCAAGGATTTCTTCTCCAGGCAAAGACTTGGCAGGAATAAAACAGATTTGCAAAACAGCCCCGGAAGCCTCTACAGTAGCTCCCTACTCTTTCTTCTCTAAATGAAAAACTTAGCATCACAAGGCATTTCAGAAACACCCAACCATAAAAGACCAAAGTAAATACATAAAAAAGCTGATCCCAGGGGAAAGAGATAAAGCAAGAAAAAGAACTTTAAAAATTCCAAATGACAGACTCCGGGAAGTTGAAAATATGCTGAAATAAGAAGAGGCTGCCATGAAAAGAAAATCAGAATATAAAAAAGAGCTCCCAGATATTAAAAACATGATCTCTAGAATTAAAATGCAATTACTGATTAATTGAACAGTACAGTTAAAGTCATTTCCAAAGTGTAAAAAAAAAAAAAGACAACTAGAAAGAAAATATAAAAAAATGAAGGAGAGGCTTAAAGACCTTTTAATATGTCCAATATGCAACCGATAGGGGTTTTGGATAGAAAAATAAAAGAAAGAGGAAGGGAAGAAATTATTAAAGACAGACATTAACTGAATGCCGGAGACATAAATCATTAGACTGAGAAAACCAGTTACAGCTTATTACATCCCTTATGAAACTTCAGGAAAAAAAATGTATATCAGGAGAGAAAACAAACATAAAGCAGGTTACTTACAATGTAATGGGAGTCAAACTGGCATCAAACTTCTTATCAACGACAGTGGGCCTGGAAGGCAATGGAGTCATGTCTTCAAGGTTCTAAGGAAAATGATTTTTCAACCTAATATTATGCCTACTCCAATTATCACTGAAACACATGAGATGGTATTCCAATGCTCTGTAAGTTTACCTCCCCTGGATCCTTTTAAGAGTCACAAAGGAATATAGTATAAACAAATGAGAACACTAACCAATTGAAAGCATACCCTTGACTAGAAATAGATTCGACCTGAAAGAAACAGCACCAATCTAGAGTAAGGCCTTGGGAGCAGGATAGGGGAGGAAGGCAGAGGGCTCTGGCGGATAGCTTCCAGAGGGGAAAAAAGATGATTAAATACATTAGATAGAATAAATACATTCAAACTGGAGAGTTTGAAGTTTGAGGAGACTCTAAAGTCACATGATGAATGGAGAAAAAAAGAAAAGAAGGGCAATTGGAAATCTTGGACAAGAAAGCTGTGCAATAAAACATGTATGGTCCAAATGGGAAGCAACATTAAAATATAAAATATTAATGAACTAATGGAGTTGGGGGAGAAGTTGTCTTTCAGTCCTGAGGCTTGGGCCTTTTCCTTGTAAGAGACTCAGACATTGCCAGTGAGATCTTGTAAGATGCCATGCATGCTTGGATTAAAACAGGTCCCCCAAAACAGTTACATTTTACACTGAAACACTGGATTTTATATTTAGTAAAAAATAAATGTAGAATATCAATCATATGTCTAGTATATAACAAACTGCCTAATACAACACAAGTTTGCAAGTGACTAGATAACCTACAAGATAGCTTGGTGGTAAACTCTGGAAATTCGTGTATCAGATGACCTTTCATGCTGCAGTTGACCTTTGAAGAATGCAGGTTTGAACTGCATGGTGGATGTTCTTCAACTGTAAGCACCAGGGGACTACGCCAGCCGGGTTGGTTGAATCTGTGGGTGCAGAACCACAGATACAGGGGAACCACATGTGGAGGGCTGTAGGTTACAAGTACTTTTGACTGCATGGAGGGTCGGTGCCTCAACACCTGCCTTGTTGTTCAAGGGTCAACAGTGCACCTCAGGGTTTGTCACTGTGTTCCTTAAAGGTGGATTCTTTAATAATAATAGTAACACTAAGATAATAACAACATGATGATGACATGATGTCTTTGTTGGCTGCCATAACAAAATACAGAAGAGTGATAGGATGATTTCAAAACCAGAAATTTATTTTCTCACCCTTCCAGATGCTGGAGGTCTGAGATCAGGGTGCTAGTATGGTCAGTTTCTGGTGAAGGCTCTTCCCCCAAGTTGCAGATGTCCGCCTTGTCACTGTGGGCCCACATGACCTCTTCCTTGTGTGTGCATGGAAAGAAAGAGAGTAACAAGCTGTCTGGTGTCCTCTTAGAAGGGCACTAATACAATCACGAGTTCCCCACCCACATGACCTCATCTACCTCTAATTACTTCTCCAGGAATGCATCTTCAAATACTATCACATTGGGAGTTAAAGCTTCAACACATACATTTTTTTTTTTAAGGACACAAACATTCAGCCTATACCACATGGGTTTAACATTTTCATATACCTGTAATTTTAGAAGAAAAGTATTACTAGCGTCATTTTAAAAAGTGGGAATATTTAAAAACCAGTATTCCATGAAACACAGTTTGGAAAATGGTGGTTTAGATAAAACTTTCAAACTATTAGTTTTACAAATTCTCTTATGACTCCTTGACAATAAAGATTCACAGGACAGTTTCTTAGTCAGGTTTCCCCTTGCTCTTTGATGAATTTATAAATATATATAGTGTTCTGATTCCATCTGCTTAAGCTGCCAAAATCTGACTTCACTGCAACCATGGGCCAACTATTTTTGAGTGTTAAACTTGAGAACCAGTGTTATTTTCATAATTCTATCAGCAAATGGTTTTTATTGGGAGAATGCTGAGCATAATAGTTTAAAATATAAAATATAAAATAAAGTTGGAAATTGATTTAAGAGAACTTTATTCTGTTTTAAAACTATATTTTCAGAAATCAATAGATTCTGAAGCATGATTAGAGATGTAGTATATATTTTAATATTATATTTTTATTTACATCAATGGGCAAAATACATTCAATTATAGACCATTGTCACTTAAAATAATTACTGAAGTTACAACTTTGTATTAAAGAATCTTTTTGAAATAGACTTTTTCATCACCTTTTACCCTAAAAGTGCTTGTGACATGTATGCTTTTATGCTGTCCAAACTGTAGAGGAGTAATTATGTTAAATACTAAATAATATGATCTTGTTAATAATAAAAAATATTTAGCAGGGGTACTTCCTTATGAGGATAAATACATTTCAACTGCATGCCAATTTATTATCTATCGATCACTTTATTTCATCATTAACTTGTTATAAATGTGAACCTTTTCTGACTGAAGAAACCGTCGCTATTATTCTAGATTTAACCCTTGGGTGCATTTCTGCGCTAACTGCAAGCAAGGTATGTATGTGTGAGGTGAGGCTCCCTTTGACTGGGAAGCTTTGGCCTTAAAACCCAAGCCGTGTGTTAAGCTGCCTTTTCCACACGATGGTTGTCTTGTTCTTTCTAGGTGATGACGCCAAAGAGGCAGTTAAACATGGTCTGGATGGGATCTTGGTGTCAAATCATGGGGCTCGACAGCTCGATGGGGTGCCAGCCACTGTGAGTTTTTATTTCTACCCCAGTTTTGACTACCTCAGATCTTAAGTTTAGGGGAAATAATTACCCAAATTAGGTCATTATTCAGTCTAATTATTTATTGGTGAACTTATGAAAGCCTGAATTGAATGAGCTGGCATCTGTGGGCAGGGATTATTCTTGCATTCATAGATACACCAATAGGTATGTTGTAAATTGGAGTATGAAGGAAAAGACTATGCCATGAGTTTCCTGAAGGTGGGCGTTGAGGAGCTACAGAGTGAGAGCAAGGGCGAAGGGAGGTAGACGTCCTACGGCCCGGGGAGGAGAGGTCCGCTGCAAATGAGCTACTTTGTTGGAGCTGTGAACTACCTTGACTGCACAGTGGAATCACCTGGGAAACTTTAAAGAATCCTAATGCCCAGGCTGCACCGTACATCAATCTAGCAGAATCTCGCAGGGGACCCGGAGGAGCCAGAGTTGCCAGTAATTATTACAGCTACTCAGGAAATCCAACATGCATCTATGGTATTTACACACCACACACACTATGCTAGGTAGATCAGGGTCCAGAATCCAGGTATGAAAGTAAACTAAACTGGCTGGAATGATGTGGGATGGAGTTAATGACAAAGGAGAGCAATTAGCCCCCAAAGGGACAAGAGCCAAGGAGCCCAAGCAGGAATAAATTTTAAGATCAAAGACTGGGGGAGCCCAGAAATGGATCAAAAGTCATGCAGGCAGATGCATATCCAGGGGTGGATTTCATGGATCCATGATCTAGAATGGTGGCTGGAGCTGAAGGTGGGGGTGTGATGTTAAAAAACGGCTTCCTTACATGCCATCCACTTGCGGAGATGCGATCAAGATGCTTTTGGATGAGGCAATGGGGTTGCAATTGCCTTTCATCTCTGCTCTGTTCCCATGCGGTTTTAGAAGTGGGTCTAAAAGTGGAATGGGAAGGGTGGGATGTGTTTGGGGACTCCTAAGTAATCCTTTTTGTTTGCAGTATCTGATGGGAGTGGGAAACCTGGGAAATACACCTCCTTAGACCAGTCAGGGAGGAAGTACTTGAATATTATGAGTCATTGGATATGCAATAGGAAAGCCTTTGTTTAGCAGCAATGAGTCTCACAAATTGGACTGAGGCAGGAGGCAGGAGGCAGGAAGACCAGTGAGGTGGCCTGAATCGTTATGGTAGCCAAGGGAACAGAGATGGTCCTCAACTGCTACAGGGCAGAGGGAAGCAATAGCCCCTCCAAACCTTAGTTTTTTCGTCTTTTAAAGTTTAAAAGTCAATTAGATGATTTCTCTGGTGCTTCTAAACTTCAGTATTCCATAATCTAATTTATCATAGGCAAAGCTAGCACCATGTGACAAAATTTAAATGTGTATGTAAAATAATGTGGATGGACATTCTAGACCATCATTTCTGAGCTGGATCATCATATGCATTGCTCTCCTTCTGTCAGAACCATTTCATCATAGTTATAATGGGATGGCTTTAATTGAGATGAGCAGTTGAATGTCTTCAAACAGTTGGAAGTAGAACAGAACAAGTAGGTGAGCCACGTAGCAGTGGGTTCCTGTTTCCTAAAATCAGCAGGTTGGTTTAGCTAAATCCGTAGATGTAGTGTAGGTCTTGAGGCAGATTGAATGACTATAGGGGGATACTGGGTATACATATTTGCACTTAAGAGTTTTTCTTGAAGCACTAAGGGGCTAACAGTAGGAATGAACCAAGTCTTTGGACACAGTCAATAATTAAAATCATAAAACTGGAAATTTTCAGCCCTTTTCAATTTAGCATGACTTAGACCTATCTTTTTAGGTTGTACTGAACACTGCCTGCAGATAAATAGAAGGGAAGAGTGAAGACCTCCTTTGGGCAGAGGGAAGTTGATCACAGCTCAAGACTTTTCCACAGATTTATGCCTCCCCAGTATATGAAGACGTAGATTTAGTGTGCAGGCCAAATTAAGTTTGTTTTCTAAAAATAGAATCTAAATCTACTGAAATCACATCTAGCTAGATTTTTAAGGGGAAAACATCTGAATGGTGCGGTTTATTTCCCTCTGGCTCAGGGGATATGGAAACTTATCTAAAAGGGCTTTTTGAGTTGTGGTCTAGGAGACTGTTTCTAAAAAAACAATGACTCTCCCCTTTGCATGATGTGTGCATGAGAGGAGATGCTTGCTTGAGTTTTGCCTCATACTTTTAGAACAAATCTCAGGCCCATGACGATGAGTGGAGTGTGAAAAGGATTCAGTTTATAGCAAAGGTGTTTTTGGCTTTGAAGTGAATGGCAAAAGGCTGTGGTGTAGAACTTTTCAGTACATACAAAGAAGGACTTGCTCTCCTGCACATTCTGTGACATCGTTAAGTCAGAGCCAAAGAGGCAGTGTGATGTCATGGGAAGAGCATTGAAATGAACCCAGATCTTGGGTTCAAGTCCTTACCTTACCTGTTCTGAGGGGTGAGAGCTGGGTAAGTAAGTTTCTCAGACTTTTCAGCCTAAGCTTCTTCATAATGAATGTTGTGTTGGTTGCAAAAAATAAAGCTGGGCTGTATGATTTCTGCATTTCTATAAATCACAGGATTTCCTTTATGGAGAAATACTTATCACTAGCGGTCCTAAAACAGGAGCTTAACTTTGATTCATCTTAACATATAGTGCCACTGAGACCCATAGCCAGATCTCTGCTACACCAAAGAGTTTAAAAATAAGATCACTGCAAAAGCCGTAATAATGTGGCCAAGATTGATCTTGAGGTAGTTAGAGAATGATATGACAGAATCAAATTGATTTCCAAAATCCACAGTATAAGAACATCTCAAACTGGGGTCTAAAATCAGACTCTCTGGAGTCTTTGAACATTCAGAGCTTTTTCCTCCCCATTATTTTTCAGTTTTGTTCTGATAAGCTTAAAATGTGACATTCTTTTTTAGTGAAAATTCTCAGCTGTAGAATATTTTCATGTAATATATTTTGGGTTGTTAAATCAGTGTTTCTAAAATTGAGCCCTAGGACATGTTCTATGAGATCTAAGAAATTTCATTTTTCCTTCTAAAAGGGATTCATGAAATTCTACCTTTGAGAAACACTTGATGTATCAGTTAGATTTTGCTGTGTAACAAACCACTCTGAAACTTGTCATTCTGAAACTTACTGGCTAAAATCCAATAGCCATTTATTCATTTCACAACTCTGTGAGTTGGTAATTTGAGCTGAGATCTGCTGGGAGGTTTTTCTGGTCCTGGCTAGGGTCATTCATATGCATCTGTGGTCAGCTGTTGGGTCTTCTAGGACAAGCTGGTGTCGGATGACCTCGGCAGGGGTGGCTGGGCATTGCCTCACATCTAGCACATTAGGTGAGCTGGTTCTCACAAGGTGACTGACCTCCTAGAGAGTAAGTGGAAATATGCAAGGCCTCTTGAGCTCTAGGCTTAGAACAGGCACACTGTCACTTCCCATTCTATTAGTGAAAACAAGTCACAGGAGGGATTCAGATTGAAGGGGTGGGAAAACTGGCTCTTTTAGCCCCATTTCTCCCCCATGATGAGAGAAGCAGAAATGTCACATCACAAGGAATTGATGGTCAGGAGAGAGATAGTTGTAGACCTTTTTGCAATTGCAAACAATCAGCCAGATCTATGTGGACCACGCTTGTTAGATCTGGCACCCCACTCCCAGCCGGGGCTGCCTGGGTGGGACAGAGAGTCAGAGGACGGTTTATGGGCAGTGGCCTGGAATCTGTCTCCTTCACGTTAACTCATGCTGTTCTGGCTTTATCTGCTTTTGTTTGTGCTCATCAGTATGGATTTGGAACCTTTAAAGGGATTTATACCTAAAATGTCACAAGTCAAGAGTATAACACTGGTTGCTCTAAGAAGGTAGAAAGGTAAGAGCCCCCTGTGAGTGGGAGTTTCATGGGATACGGAGGACCTGGAAGAGTGTGCCTTGAGCAGGAACAGGAAAGAGGAGACTCTTGGGGAGCCAGAGCCCTGTGGGATTCTCTTTGGATACTTAAGCTGCCTGGCATAGCATCTTGGATTTACCAGGTCATCAATAGGGTGTGTGATAAATCAATGAATGGATGGATGAATGAGCAGTAATATATTGGAATCTTACCATATTTTCCTGTAACCCCGTTGGTGCTAAGCCTACAATTAGTTGTTTGAAGAACCACTAAGGAAAGAAAAGCTGAAATGAATGGTCTCTTAGATGTGCAGCAAGCTTGAAAGGTGGAAACATTACAGTCATAAAATGGTGGATTTGTCTACTATATTTATTTATGTAATCTGCTCTGATCAGAATTATTCTGGGTAACGTATACCCAGCACAACTACAGCTACAGAAAGAGGAGAGGGAGGATAGAAATGCCCAGCTTCAGATAGAACATCCTTGTCCACGGAAGCAGGAAACCCCAGTCTGGGCTTCGTTGTATAACCCAGGATTCACATTTTAAGTACCCTTATTCGTTTACTTTTTAGGCCAGGTTGGGCATTGGAAATATCCTAAACAGACTGGATGTGCATGACTTTGAAAATGTGTATTGAACCCGAGCTAGCTAATATTTTTCTTTGGTTTTGGTTTCAAATGGGGAAATATGCTTAATTATAGCTTGCATCATCACTTGGAAATTGTAGCATTTAGCTGTTGATGTAACTTGCCTGACTGTTAAAGGACGACTATGTATAGGTAAAGGGACGTATGTAAATGGATCCAAAGCATGTTTGGCAAGGCAGAAAAGCCAGAAGGAAAAGGGGAAAATCACGTTACCTGCCAAACGTTTAGGGGCCGTGTGCCAAATGTTGCCTTCACTTCCTCCAACCTTTTACATAAAACTCTCTTTAAGTTTAGCCTCTAAAATTTTAGGGGAGAAGTGAGAAAGCCTTTGAGTGATTTCAGCACAATTATTTCTGGAAAAACTGCACTTGAATGTATGGTAGCTTCTTCTGTTTGCATTTTAAATGGAGATTGGGCTAAATTTTGTATTTAAATATTTGAGGATGCAGATGGTAATTGCTACAGACTTCGACCTACTGGTCACCTTGTGAATTGTTTCCACTTTCAAGTGCAAAGATTTACATCAAAGCAGCCAATTGTATCAGCTATTGGCTGTTAACTGAACTGGCTACAGGCCAACTTTGTTAGCTGTTAGTGCATGATGCTGTAAAACTAGACTCCAAACTCAGTGATTTAAATCAACATTCTTTATTCCCAGGAAGCTGTGTGTCAACTGGGGATCTGCTGATCTGGATTTGGTGCTGGTTAGGTGGCTGTGCTCCAAGTTGCAGGTCCAGCTGGGCTTGGCTGGGAGAGCTGGGCTGGCTGAATATTTATCCTGGGTCTCAGCTAACAGGGAAGCCTTGCCCAGGGGAGACTCGTCTCATGGCAGATGGCACAGATGCAAGAGAAAGTTGTAATGCGGGAGGTCTCTTAAGGCCTCTGCCCAGAAATGGCGCTCAGCCACTTCTGCTCACATGTCATTGGCTGAAGTAGGTTGCAAGGCCAAGGCCACTGTCAAGGAGTGGCAAATGCACACTGTTTCTTTCAGTAGGAAACACTGCAAAGTGGCCTTGGGAAAAGAGTGGGTTCAGAGAGGTATTAAGAGTTGGGACCAATAGTGCAACTTACCAGATCAACCTCGAGGAAGATCTTATATCCTCTAGTGCTGATGTAAACCCATCAACTGCCAGTTAGGATGAGGCCCTTGAAGGTGCATGACATTATGTTCCTTAAAAGCAAGACAAATCTTTTCAGGGGGACTTCTCCAATGTGCAGCTGGATGCAAAGGATTTTGGACAGGAAATCAGAGACTAAGTTTATTATGACTTATGGTGTTTGCATTTTTATACACCACTGCTTTCACCACAATCTGAGGATGAATTTTAACGATTGATTTTTCAATGAGTAAATAATGTTCAGAATAATTATATGAGCAAGATACTTCATTTATATTTATGCGTTTAATAAAGAATAGCTCTGTATCTTTTAAGATCATAACGTGTTTTTAAATTGTGTTTATATATATTTTGTGATCATGATGCTTGAATTTGAATATCAGGAATAGAAAAAAAAACTTGGACTTTGATTGAAAAGTAAGCCACTGAATCCGAATTTTTTGGTTTTTGGTTGCTAGCATTTGCACATCTTTTATTTTAGGAAGGAGTCATTTTACTGTTGATTCTAATCCTACTTCTTTTACTCTAAGCCTGAGTCAGGTGGTTGGTGGCCCAAGGAAGTTGAGGTTTACTTAATGGGAAAATAAGAATATAGTAAGCATATGCAAAATACTAGAAAATTTAAAAATCATACAATCTCCCTTTGGTGCTAGAATCGCTCAGTGAAATAATTTAAAAAAATCAATATTCACGAGTTTTCCCTTAAAGATGAACAGTATACAGTGAGAACTTTTTTGTTTGATAGATAAACTGGGAATTTCATCTATTCACCACAACCCTAATAATTTTCGTTGTTGGTAATGTGCAATAGTGGTCATTCACTGGGTTAGGGTGGAACCCCACCCAAAGTTTGGTTTGGTTATTGAGGCTGATATTAACATTGACGTGTTAACCCATAATGAAAAAGAATCCGAACAAGAATCTCTTTGCTGTATACCTGAATCATTGTAAATCAACTATTCTTTAATAAGGAAAAATCAAATCAAATCAAATCATTCATAATCTTAAAAAATGCATAGAATCTCATGATTGACCTCTTCTCTCCACAGATTGATGCTCTGCCAGAAATTGTGGAGGCTGTGGAAGGGAAGGTGGAAGTCTTCCTGGATGGGGGTGTGCGGAAAGGGACTGATGTTCTGAAAGCTCTGGCCCTGGGAGCCAAGGCTGTGTTTGTGGGGAGACCAATCATCTGGGGCTTGGCGTGCCAGGTAATTGAAGAACAAAGCAGTAAATGTATAAAACAGGATGATCGATAGTAAAATAATTTCATGAAACAAGTCAGACTGACTTACCTGAAAGATCTGTGTCTTTTACTTCCTTAGGGAGAGAAAGGTGTCCAAGACGTCCTTGAGATACTGAAGGAAGAATTCCGGTTGGCCATGGCTCTGAGTGGTAAGACTTGGCATCCTCACTTACAACTTTCTTTTCATCTGGGGGTCTTCACGGAGAGAAGTGAATTTGAGGGGAAAGGGGATGGAATCATTTGGAGTGTAATTCAGTTTAAAGTTGGATCCATACTCACAGCTCTAGCACAGAACGCTCTCTGAATGGAGGAATTCCTCATCGTGTGCTGTCTATAGCTTTTACCTTTGACAGTCTTATCAGGGATATTTTGGTGAGTCTTATTAGTACCTTAAGGGTAGATATGACATCATTACTCCTTCTCATCTCACAATGCATGAACGATAAATCTAACTGGCTAGTCAACATCTCCACCCGAATGTCTTAAGTGGCATCTCAAACTCTAAAACTAAACTACTGACTCTTTCCATTAAACCTGCTCTACCTGCAGACTCAGTTCATGTAAATCCCATTGTTTCAGTTGCTCCGATCAAACATCCTAAGTCACTCTTGACTCCTCGTTTCTCTAGTCCCATCACATCCAAAGAGGTGCTATCTGTAAAGGAGACCTCACTCATCACCTCCACTGCCACCATCCTGGCTGGAGCCTTCATCATCTTTCTTCATCTTGGATATTATGATAATCTCCCTTTCCTTAGATATTTCGAGTCAGCCTGTCTGTCGTTGCTCACAGCCCTGTCCCAGTCTATTCTGATCCCAGGGTCACAACGATCCTTTTATTTATTTATTTTTAATTGAAGTATAGTTGATTTACAATGTTGTGTTAGTTTCTGGTGTACATCAAAACAATTCAGTTTTGCATATATATGTATATTCTTTTTCATATCCTTTTCCGTTATAGGTTATTATAAGATATTGAATATAGTTCTCTGTGCTATGCAGTAGGACCTTGTTGTCCATCTGTTCTATAAAGAGTAGCTTTTATATGTTAATCCTAAACTCCTAATTTGTCCCTCCCTGCTCCTTCCCCTTTGGTAACCAGAAGTTTGTTTTCTACATCTGTGAGTCTCTCTCTGGTTTGTAAATAGCTAATTTGTATCATATTTTAGATTCCACATATAAGTGATATCATATGATATTTGTCTTTCTCTGACTTATTTCACTTAGTATGATAATCTCTAGGTCCATCCATATTGTTGCAAATGGCATTATTTTACTCTTTTTATGGCTGAGTAGTATTCCACTGTATATAAAAACTACATCTTCTTTATCTATTTATCTATTGATGAACATTTAGGTTACTCCCATGTCTTGGCTACTGTAAATAGTGCTGCTATGAACATTGGGGTGTGTGTTTTTTTTGAACTAGAGTTTTCTCCAGATATATGCCCAGGAGTGGGATTGCTGGATCATATGATAACTCTATTTTTAGTCTTTTCAGGAACCTGTATACTGTTCTCCACAGTGGCTGCACAGATTTACATTCCCTCCAACAGTGTAGGGGGGTTCCTTCTTCACCATACCCTCTCCAGCACTTATTGTTTGTGGATTTTTAATGATGGCCAGAATGATCCTTTTAAGTATTAACTCAGATCATATCAGCACTCTTCTGATCAGAACCCTCCAATGGCTCTTGATTTATTTGGAGTAAATACCAGAACCCTTCTGATGGTCTATGAGGGCCTATGTGCTTTGACCTCTGTCACTGCTCTGACTTTGGCTCCTACCACTGTCACCCTTGCTTATTCTGCCCAAGCCACATTGGTCTCCTTGCTGATCCTTGACCACATCAGATACGTTTCAGCCTTAGGGCTTTGGCCTTGGCTGTTCCTTCTGCCTGGATGCTCTTTCCCCAGATATCTACCTGGCTAACTCCCTCGTGTCCTTCAAGTCACGCCTACTTCCTATTTCCTCACAGGGTCCCATCCTGACCACCATATTGACAATGGCAGTCTTTCCTGCACCCATTCAACTTCCAGTTTTTTCTTCCCTGCCATTATTTCATTATTTTTCTGTAGTACCTAACATCCTCTATAGATCATCTATTATATAATTTATTTTTTAAATTACATGCATTAGGTGTTATCTATTTCCTCTCTAAAATGTAAGAATTATCAAGATCCCAAACGTAAGGCAGGGATCTTGGTCTGTTGCCCTCACTGCGTATCCCCAGTGCCTAGAGCAGCACAAACAGTAAATATTTGCTGCTGGAATGAACAAGTAAATAATCATCATTATCACTAGTGACTATTTTGAATTTGACTCAGAATGGACCTCCAGATGCAAAGGGTCATCTTGAGTCAATTATCAGCTCCCCACTTTTGAAGGTAGGAGAGCTTCCTTTTCTGTGATCCGTGTCACCCAGATTGTCCTCATAGGTAGGGTTCTGGAGATCACTGGTCTGCTCTCTCCTGGGCTGAAGCTGTGTGGGTGCAGTATCAGTGAGGAGAATGCCATTCTGTGAATCCTCACTCTACATTTTAATTTGCTACAGACATATCCTCAAAGAGAGTTTTCAGCCACTGCCTCTCTATTAAATGTGGCAGAAAGAATATACTCTTTGTGTTAATAAAAATATGTGCCAGTCATTTTGTGTTAAGGACTGTTTAGGTAATAAAAATGGTCTCATGCCACATAAGATTTGGCAAGCCTACCTTGAATCATAAAGCTTACATTTGTCAAGTTTTACATTCCTGGGGAAAACGATTACCTGCCTGATTATTATTGCATTCATTTCGTATTAAATGTATGCGTTATTTTTTTCAGGGTGCCAGAATGTGAAAGTCATCGACAAGACATTGGTGAGGAAAAATCCTTTGGCCGTTTCCAAGATCTGACAGTGCACAATATTTTCCCATCTGTATTATTATTATTATTATTTTTTCGGCATGTATTACTTGACAAAGAGACACTGTGCAGAGAGTGACCACAATCTGTAATTCTCCACTTCGATACAAAGGGTGTCCTTCTTCTCCAACAAAACAGCAATCCCTTGCTATTTTAAGTTCATTGCTTTTGACTTTTCAATGGGTGCCCTAGGAACCTTTTAGAGAGAAATGGACTTGCATCCTGGAAATATATTAACTGTTAAAAAGGAAAACATTGAAAATGTGTTTAGATAGCGTCATCCCCTGGCAGGCTAACGTGCTGCAAAACAAAAGGTATCCCAGGGTAAGACTGGAGCTAGCTCATGTGGAGTACACAGATAATGATCTCACTGTTTATTAACCCTCATTGTGTTGGGATTTCCTTAAAACCATGTTCTTAAATTGTCAGCGCAGGTTCAAAAGGCTGAGAGTGCCTTGGAGAGATAGCAGGTTTGGATTCCTTACACTGAGGAGATGGTGCTTGATAACATTGGGATACATTGGTGATAATTTGTGATTTTCTAAGTACTTTTTGACACCCTGAGCTATGCTCCTTCTTTGAATGTAGATTTCCATTCACATCTTTAGTATCTTTAGTATATCTGAGTATTTTATGATGGAGATGGCTTCTTAGTCAGAGAGAAATAAAGTGATTTTTGAAAAGATTCTATCTGGTCCATTTGTAATAAAATGGAATTCAACTATTTTGATCCCTGAGCCCGAATGTCTTCCCTGTTCGCCTTATGTACACCTGTTAATTTTCTTATACCTCGTAGATCCTCTTCGTTATCCCTTTGCTTCTTTCTCACTCACAGTCATGGCCAGTGACGTGATGTGCGAGGCCCCCTGCCAAATGAAATGATGGCCCCTTATTCAAATAGCAGGAAAAAGACCTTTCCCTTTCTTTCAAGGTTTTTCTCTTAACCTGCCATGGTATCTTTTATTTGCTATTGAATGTCATGTTTCCTGGGGCATGGGGGTACTCATGGGGCAAGTACAGACCCTCACAGGGGTCTGAACATCACCCTGTGATCTGTCCTGACTCAGAGTGGAGGGTGGGGGTGGACAGAGCCACTGTCACTGGTGAGGTAGGTGGGCCATTAGCCAAGGTCTTGTCTAGGGGAGGTGGGGAGGTGGTGGGAGATGAGACATTGTGGCTCCAGGCCCCCCAGCACATGTTCCATGGTCCTGTCATCCTTTACGTATAAAATACAAACTCAAAAGTATTAAGAATTCAAGCCAGCAACAGAACATTAAACTCAAGCACAAAGCCCCCTTTGGGGTGTAGAATCCTGTGTGACTGCACTGCCTGCCTGTCCATGAAGCTCTGGTCAGATGACTTTCATTTATTCCCAAATCAGGTGTTTGACAGCTGGGAGGGAAACTTAGCAGCCAAAGTAATTTTGAAATTGTTTTTTCACCAGCTTGTTGGTTGTTCATTTACTATAAAGTACTGAATGAAACAATTTAGAGAATCACTACCTTAAAATATGATCACAAGAATTATGTTTTATTATTTTATTATAATGTTTTATTCTCAGATCTCTCTGCCTCTCTCTCTGTCATTGTCATTCTGTCTCTCTGTCTCTATCTCTCCATCTCTTTCCCTTCCTCCCTCCTTCTTTTTTTTTTCCTTTAAATGCTAGGGCTTTCATAAATACTACAATGGACACAAACATAGATCTATCTTTCTGAAATTATATCATTATATCTTGGTCTGATAAAGAAGAATCATTTAGTCTGATTAAAAAGGAAAAGTCATCCCTTAAGTTTTTCTCCAACTACCAAGAAGGAATATTACTGTCATATTCTATAACTGTTTTGTACTTTTCTAATTACTATTAATCAATTAACAGTAAGTACCTCTTGGATCCCTCCAACTGATTCAGGGGTGCACCTGTTTTTAGCAAAGAAGGTCCGCTTGGCTCCATCCTAGTATGTGGTTGCTTAAAACCTGATAACTTCCCCAGCAAATGGAGGTCCACAGATAGTGTTTTAAGTAAGTTTTATGAGAATGGGGATTAGTGGTCTTAATTGGTAACTTTCTAGACACATTTATGACCCCCATGCTACCTCCTTGAATGTAGATATGCACTTTTTCTTCAGAGTTGTAATGTAGTTGAATGCTTTATGATGTATGTTGTTTGCATAATCAGAAAGATATGAAGTTGTTTTTACATTTTTTTTTGAGTGTCTCCAGTCCAGTTGTAAGAATGCTAAAACCAAAACCTTCTGACGTCTGAGACAGGAATGGGGTATGTTGGGTGGATATCTGTTTCTAAGGATTTTCTCACTTGAACTTGAAAGAAGTTCTTTGAGGAAGACAACTGATTTTTCTGTTCCTGAGTTTCTTAAATTATGTAATAGGAAACAAGTAGTTTAATATAGGCCAAGTCTGCTTTTCTTGTATGTTTAGTGTATCTGATGCCCCAAAGAAGGGCTCCTCAAACTGGAGAGAGTGTCGTAATCACCTGGAGGCTGTGGGGCCCGCACCCATAGCCTCGGATTCAGCAGGTCTGGGGTGGGGCCTGGGAATCTGCATTTATGATGAGCTCCCGGGTGAGGCTGGTGCTGCTCTTCCAGGCACCACACTTTGAGAACCACTGGTCAAGTCTAGAGCAAGGAGCATCAAGTCTGATTTAAAATGCAGGTCATGTAATGAGCCAGCTGTTGGGCACGGACCCACCTAAAAAAGGCCACTTCTTCTCAGTCAGTTGCTTCTTCTTGTTGAAACTGATTTCTTATTGAAGCACAAAGTACTTACAGTGCTGTGTGTTCAGTGCACACATCTGTCAGAGGTGGTGGCATTTTACACATACACCCACGTGACCGCTACCACCCAGATCAAGAGTTGGCACTTTTCAAAACATCCTCCCCAAAGTATCGCCTCTACCAGAAGCCACCTTATGCTAATTTCCATCACCATGGCTGCTCTTCATAGAAGTGGAACCACACCATACGTACTGCTGTTTTTAGTTTTGTCTATGAAGTTCATTCACACTGCTGAGCCTGTCAGTCATTAGCTGTGTTTACTGCTCTGTAGGGATCCAGTGCATGAACATGTCGTAATGTATCGATCCATTCTTCTCATGTTGCATGTTTGGGTTGTTCGCGGTCCTTCTGCTGGAAGCTGGTTCCAACTGATTTTAGTGAGAATGCAAATTCAGTGTTATTTTCATATTTTTTTTTTCAAGAAAAGCTGGACATCTACATTGTTATGTGAAGATTTTTCAATGTTGGCAAATATATAACATTTTCAACATTGAGCAGGTCATGTTAGACTTGGGTCTTGGCCCATGAGTCACAATTTCTCAGCGCCTGTAACATCTTGTCCTCACAGATGCTTCTTTTGTGGTGAAAATCACTCTCATGTCCCTCCACAGAATCATGCCTGAGACGTGTAGCAGTGATGGGTGCCCACTAACAGATTTTTGTTTAAGCTTGCTTATGTTATGCTACCTGGAAGAATGTGGATGTGAAATAAACTTCCTCCTCTCCACCAGGCTTGGGGAGTCCAGGATCCCAGGCCTGCAGGAATGAATCAAGCAGTACTGGTTCCTGAGTGAGCAGTTTGCAAACTGTATCTGTGTCATTGCGGGGTTATTCATTCATTTGTTTATCTTGCCAAAACATTAGCGTTTGTGAAACAGCTTTAGAGGGCTGTGGCGGATTAGTATAGCATGAAAGGAAGTTGTGGCTTGTCCTCAAACAGGGAGAAAAGACCTTTCATTGTAAAATTCATAATTTATTTATTGTCTGATGGACTGTATTGCATGTCCGTTGCATAGCAACAAAATAAAGTTTGTCTGGTTAGGAACATCTGAAGGTTTCTTACAACGTAAAGATAGAGGATGCTTTCTGAACTATATTTGCTTCAATGTGTGTTCCGTCGCATACCAATTATAGAAGAACATCAGGATAAGATTTATTTTAGGTAATACAAATGTTAACACAAATGGTAGAAGAGTATTATTGTGTGTTTATGTGGTGGGGAATCTTATCTGTTTAAAAAGATGCAATTTCCTGTCAGTATCCAAGTCTAACTTGAGCAATCTGTGTCTTCTTTCCTCCCTAATGTGGTTGCCCAGAGATGTTTAGGGGAAATAAGAAATGCTTATTTTTATCTGGTTATCTGTTTTCCTACTGATATTTTTTCTGAATATCATTTCAGATAGTAAGCATAGGTTCAACTGAAAATTTTCCAGCATCTTCTGTAAACCAAGAATCCTGTTACCCTGAATGATGCCAAAACAAGGGCTGGAATTCAAGTGAGCAATAAATTTGATTTTGTTTGTTCATTTGCTTCAGCCCCATTGGGAAAAAGGTTCTGGCGTGGTTTCCCACCTGTGTTCTCTGGTTAGATCATCTATCTTTAAAGCTGATTTGTTTTCCAGGATAGTCAAACTCCTGAGTCTGTTTCTAGCAGGCAAAGTCTTCCAACTGACGTGGTTGGTAGTGCTATGCTTCACATGATATGCTAGGGCTTTTGTACCAACTTGGCTAATTGAAAGTCAAGGCCAGCCCACCCCAAAGCATCGGGTTAAGACCCCGAAGAGCTGAGTGAGTGTCCACGTGAAACATTATTTAACCTTAGGACCCTGAGAGTCTCAGCTGTGAAATGAGGGTGCAGAGTGGTGAGATGTATTTTTTATCTTTGAATTTCAGTGCCTTCAGCTGAGGTAATGCTACATGTCACATGACCCACAATTTAAAAACAGAACCATGCCTAGTACACTGTTTTCATTTTAATTTAAATATGAAAAAAGCCCAAGTTAACCAGCATATATCTCATATCAATTATTAATATATTATTAACATTGCCCTCCATTTTCCTATGTTTGCTTTACTAACAATGTTCTAATAATAGTAATATCAGTGCTTATTATAAATTTTTAGTTTATTCTATTAAAACAAGCATTTTAAGATTCTTATTATCCAGACCAGCACTGTCCCATGAATGTTTTGTGATCATGAAACTGGTGTCTGTCTGTAACTTCTAATATAGCAGCTAATATCTGCTGTATATATGGCTATTGGGCACTTGAACTGTGCCCAGTATTGAAGGCTTCACTTGATTTAATTCTAATTATTCTAATTGTAAGTAGTTACATGTGGCCAGTTGGTATAGTATGGGATAGCACAGATCTAAATATGCAGAACAATTTTAGGCAGAGGAGAGACTTTATCCAACAGACTTAAGACCAGCCTTGCTACACGGTTACCCTGGGCAAGCCACATAAAATTTTTTCAACATAGCTCTCCAATTTGAAAACTAAAATGTTATGGCAGCTCTTATCTGTATTGTGGGCACATTCCTTGCAGTAATACATGTAATAATGTTTAAAATTATTTGGAGAAAAATACTATACTGATCTAAAGCAGCTTTGGTTTTGTTTGTTGGTTTGTTTGTTTTTCTTATTAATCTTTTCATTTATGGCTTCCTGGGAAGAGCACAGAAATTTTGTCTGAAGTCTTGAGTTCCTGGTTCGGACTAGCCACTGAATGAGCAGATCATCTTGAGAAAATAATCCTGAACTTTAACTTTCATCCTTTAGGTGTGAGAGTAATATCATTAATCGATAGTATGTAATAATGAAGAGTGATGTCCTCCTAAACTAAGAAGTGATGTATGTGTAAGCTATTGTGTAAACGATTGTAATAAGAATACATGGTATGTAGTGTAATGGCTGACATCTTGAAAATCTGAAAAGTGTGAGCCAAGTTTGTTAGACATAGTGAAATATGCCCCTCTGAGTAGACAAAATCCTGTATCCTAAATAGCCAACTGGCACAATAAAGAGCCTTTCTCTAAGGAACTTTGGCATCTCTTTGATCCAGCAGCACAGATTCCTTTACCATATGAACAAGTAGCGTTGCCCAAGTCAAGAACACACTTCTGGTTCACATTTTCCTTTATTGTTGATACCATGTTATCTGGTTTTAATATTAATGAGCAAACCTCTCAGATTTTTTAAAAGTTTCTGGATAATAGTAGGCAATAATTTTACCCTAGTCAAGAATATATTTTTGGTTTTAATATTAGTTATTATAACCATGCTGTCTAGTTTAAATATTAATGAGCAATACCACTCCAATTTTTTTTGAGAGTTTCTGAAAAAGTTATTTAATATAATGTCTGTCATGGTGTGGAAATTTAAGTAGTGATTTAAAAAAAAATGCACTAAAAAAGCAGTCAGGAAGAAACTCTTTCAAAGAATTCTTTAATAATCTAACTGAGTAAAGTTAAAGTTCACTGTTTCCAACATTCCCAATCACATATCTATGAAAAAAAAATGCAACAACACAACAAACCAACAAAAATACTTGAAGACTTCAGCATTAGTAAACTGTTAATCTACCAGAAAAAGAAGAAAAAACATTAATTTATGCAACAGTTAAATATTCATGATTATGGTCAGGGCAGTGTATATGAAAGCCAGAATTCATAAATTGGAAAATGCAACCATTGGATCGACTGGTGGTTTTGTCTACACAACCACATAAACAATTCGCCTACTTTCCACTAAGTTGACCAGATGCTTTGTTGTCATGTAAACACGATCTAAATGAAATCCACAGATTTCCCCCCAAACCTTATTTTAGCTAAACGTTTCTTGGCTAATCTTCTTCCAGGTCTGTTAACAATTTATCCAGAATGATTTGATTGGCTTTCAAGTCTTTGGCCATTTCTTGTCCATCCTTTATTGGGCAGGCAAATGATGGAGAAAATGATGCAAGGACAAGCAAATAAACACAGAAAGAAAGATCTTTGGAAAGCAAGACACTCCCCACAGTTGTTGGCCTTTTCTCAGGAAGGGAGTGGTTAAGAGGGCATGGGAGGGTTATGCCCAAACTGTCTCCCCGTTTGAGATGCCTCCTTCCAGGAGTTCAAGAATGAGAACCTCTTCCTACTCTACTAAGTATCCTCTCTGTTAACACTCGTACTACCAAAGTTCTTCCAAGTCTTCAGGTAAGTGAAAAGTAGAACATATATTTTTAAAAAGTTAATTTGAAAAGATATATGATGCATTAATTACAAATATAAGCCTCTAAAAATTTTTATGGAAATTTACATTCTTGTCGCTTACTCAAATCTTCCTGATGATGGAGGTTCACGTGGTCCTCCGATTTTTTGACTTTGTGGGAGAGAGGGAGGTGAGAGATGATAGAACTACAAGAACAGCAGCAACAAAATAAAGGTATCGTGTAAGAATCCATCTTTTCATTTCAATTTATTTTATGTACTGCTTATCCATTGGGGTTTTTGACACTCATCCAGAAACATAACATAAATTAGGTATTCTAAGTATTTTGATCCAATATCAGAGCCAAGATGATTTCCCATTCTAGATTCATTTATAGTCTTGCTTCCACCAAACCCAAGGTTAAGAATGAAACTGAGAAATATCAGATCCTGTTGGAAAACACTCACGATCAGACCTTGTCTGCTCCATTGAAGCAGCTTAGTCATGAATAAATACGTTTGTCACTGGCTATCACATAATAATATATCAGTTACTAAAATGTACTATTCTTTAAAAACTTTTAATTGGTGCCATGTGGAGAGCACACAGCATGGTATAGAAGCCTGAAAATCAAGTCACTGAAGTTGAAGGTGACATGTGATGACCTTTACTCTCTTACATGCTGTTAAGTCAACATATGCGTAAACTTACACCATGTTGTCCTAAGAACAAAACAAATACCAATAAAGAAAAAATTAATGAGGACATGGATCTAGACGCTGGATTGTCATGTCCGTGAAGGCAAGGAATCTGTCTTGTTTTTTGCTGTATTACCAGCATCTTATATGAAAAAGTGTAGTTATTCAATAAGTATTTGTTAAATTAATTAATGAAAACTTATCAGGGATACTATGGAAAAAAATTTTAGAACTAACTCGAACATTCTATGCTTGGCATCAAAACAGAGCAAATACTTAAAGCATTCCATTAAGAAAATTTAAAATCACACTATTCAATGGAAAATTCTAAGAATTCTGATTATAAAACACATGAGTATTTTATAATCCTTAATTGCTATTGTAAAATTGAGTTCGATTTTTCAAACAGAAGTAAAAAGGCATGTGATTAAAATATTAAGAAGTATAATTTCCTCAAGGATAGATTTCATCATTTAAAAATGTCTCTGATTATATTTCTGTAGCAAAAGACTACCAAATTGAAACTGATAAATTGTTGAAATGCCACAAAGTCAGGGAATTTTAGAGTTGCTCAGAATATGTCAGATTACGTGGCCAAATGCTACTTACATGTTTCCTATGGGCAAACCCTAAGATCCCTGTCCAAGACCTCTGAATAAGGGGGTCTTGGCCATACAAGTTGGATGATGTGGGTACATCACATCTCAATTTTGCAAAAGTTACTCCTTAAAAAGTGTCAAGTAATTAATATTTCTTTAGTCCTTCTGAGAAAATTGATACTTGTTTAAGCATCCTAAACAATGTCCCACTGAGGTTTTATGACTCCTGATGCTTTGCTGAAAAGAGCAAGACACGACTTGAATTAGATCAAGCAATAGGAGGGGTTTTTAGTATCTCATTAAACCATAGGACGTGTCTCACCGCCAAGCCTCAGGAAAAACATGAATGAGGTTGGGTCTTGGGAAACCTGGGTCAAAGAATTTGAAAGTATCAAGGACTCATTTTGCTTTATTCCCCCTTTGGTTCTCGCAGAATTCTAGCTTTCTTGCTAGCAACCTCAACTTAGTAGGTCACATACAGCTCTCTTGATTCACATCTCCTGGCTCTGCCACCAAGAATTCATGTGCTTGTTCCAGCTCCAGTTCAAGACTATCTGACAGCTGAACTCTGAGTTGCTTGCGTACCCCTTGACCGATCAAACATGGTCAGGGAGAAGAGGTACAATATAAATATAGGACTACGTTAAATCCTAAATATTGTGGTGTGGAAAGAGGGAAGAGAAGGGGCACTGTTGCTTCTAGAGTACGAAATTTGGGGTGGGGGTAACAAAACAATAGGTGTTCCCTGTAGGAACAACAAATTTTTTTTTTAACATATCCCATACAATATTTGGGACACACTCATCCTAAAAAAATACTTATCTGATACTCAAATTTAACTTGGCACTCTATATTTTTTTCTATGTGTGTGTGCTCACTTTGTGGGCCTCCTTACAAATTAACTAATGTTTTTTGTTCATATTTTCATTAAAAAAAAAGAAACTTAGGAAACACACGGGTTCTTTGACCTTAATCTTGTAACACCTGAAGAGTTCGGCATCACTTGGCAACTGGGAAATTCGAAGCTGGCCAGGGAATTGTCCGGAATCCCACAGTGAGTAGTGTCTTACTTTCTTTGCTTGACCACGTATCAGTGATCCAGAAACACACTGTCAGCTTCAGACCACAGAATGTTTGATGGAAGTTTAACATGTTATCCCAAGGCCAGTGTGTTCATTCTTGCAAATTTAGCTTCTCCCCTGCTTGACTATTGAAGTACACAAATTAACCATGTACATTTAAAGTTAAATCTTGTGCTTTGATAAAACATATCTGCCTATTAATGTAGCTCAAGTCTTATATTAAAGAAATCTAATTACCTTTGTTAAACTAGGTATTTTCCATAAATAATTTGAATATGTCTACAATTACTATAATACAGAACTGAAGTTCTAAGGAATGCAATGAGAAATGCTAAAAATCAGCCCTTTCATCTTTAGTTTGGGAAACTGACCCAGAAGAATCAGCCAGCCAATAGTAGCTGAGCTGGAGATAATTGATGAAGTTTTAATAACAAAATAAATCAAAGTACATGGCAAGAAATTTTTTTAAAAAAACTTGTTTAATGCAAATTCTTCTCAGAATACTCCACATCAGTTTAAACAGCATCTGTAGAGTTCAGGTAATTATTACTTCAAAAAATTATGAACTTTGACATGGTACAACTGTATTTTCACATTGCAATGTGGAAGGAACTGTATGAAACAAGAGTGGTACAGAGGCTTATCAAGATCACCAAACAGTGAAAGGAATTCACTGCAGAGAAGTTGGAATCAGCTGGTGTCACGAAACCCTCAAGCCAAAACCAGTGTGTTGAAGTTACTGTTCTACTGAGGTGTTCCTCTCTAACATTTGTGGACACTGAGCCCATGGAAGTTGTCTGTACATTAATTATCTTGATCCTACTATTAGGAGCTGAGCATATGTCAGTAGAGAGAACCAACAGTTGGATATCCAGTATCCACCAAGTTGTTTCTCAGAAGCAAAGTAGAGAGAATCAGCTTGTTTGCCCACAACAGTCCCAGTTTTATATTCATTCCTCTCCCAGTGTCAATGTCCTATTTACTCCCAAAGTCTCCCAGTTTAGATGATAAATCATGTGGGCCATTTTGATGGAACAACAGGAACTGTACTTGTGATATGCCTTGACTGATCTGAAGTTCTCTAGCACTGTTGAAAATTCTAGCTGTGCACTTAAACAGATGAGTTCTTGGTGGGAAACTTGCAGTGCTCTTGGAGAAGCCAGAGGAATGAAAGAAAGGCCAGATCCCAGGAAGTGGTTTTTAATATGTAAATAGTCCTTTAAAAACAAAGAAATGTAAAAAGAAACAAAAATCTTCAGTTGCTTGTGCCTAAGATCAACATATAGAATCATAAGTACACAAGATTTTACAGGCCATTATTGAATCAGGGTACTTTATTCCCTGATAACAGAAGAGTCATGAGTTTCTAATTGGAGATCTTTTTGACATTGTGATGGATGTGCTTTGAAAAAGAGTTTCATAGAGAGGGATCAACAACGGAGTCTCCCCTCTGCTACTTCCAGATCAA